AAATTACATTATTTCAACTCTTCTGAGCTTTACTGAAAAGAATGAGAAGAAAGTGATAGGTGGGAGTGACGGGAGATCCCAAATCAGGTAATTCTTTTTCCTGTAGTGACTAGCTTTATGTGTGGGTCTGAAAATAAGAGAAGATATAGTTCTATTTCTTGCCTTTTATAATTCTAATGATTGATTGATAGACAAGCAAGGAGTGATATGAGTGGAGCAGTCCTCAAATGGTCCCCAAAAGCCATTTTTAAGTAGTATCTCACAGTATAAGGATCCTCCTTAAGCTACATGGCTTAAGAACTTCTGTGTTTTATTGATCTCAGGTAGATATTTTTTTTAGATTTTAAATTCCCTAAAATCAGGATTTGTTTTATAGTTGATGATGTCTTACAATTACTTGGCAGTAATTTTCTTTCATAGTAATACATGAGGGAATGTAGCCTCCTACAGTTTTGATGGCATGTTACATCTGATGAAATATAGTCTTTATTACAGTGCTTCATTGAAGGGCTTTCTCAGATACCAGGGTGCTTGGTTATTTCCATCTCCAGCAAAATGATTTATACGAACTTTACTTTCCAGATAAACACCACATGTAAAGAAGGTTTAGGATTCCCAATACCAAATGATACATACTTTAGATGTTGGGAATTCAGGACTCAGAGACAGAGAAGAATAAATTCCATCTGTAGATACCCTTGTAAGTAACCAGAAGAGGCTCTCCCCTTTGTGCAAGTGTCAGAATGATGCACACTTGATGAATGACACTGGCAAACCAGAAGCATTCAATTAACCTTAGCAATGTCCTGTTACAGGATTGCAGGCAACTTTTTTTTTAATACTTTACTCCTTTTCTGAATTTTCTTTAATGAATAGATATTACTTTTGTTTGTTTCTTTAAGTAAGTAAATGCTCCTTAATAAGATAAAGCCCCCCTTGGGTCAAGACAGTAATAATAGTAGCATTCTTTTGATGATATTTACTATCAAGTTGTACACTTCAAATATGTGCAATTTATGTCATGCAATTTGTACCTTAATAAAGCTGAGCTTGTCTTTTTTTTTTAAAGAGTCATAGTTGAAAAGATCATTTCTGTAGTGGCAGTATGACACAGTACAGTGAAAACATAAAGCAGATAAGTCCTTCTGAGATTCAGGAAGATTTCAAAGAGCACGTAACTCTTGAGCTTTTTTATTCTGAGCCTTGAAGAAAGAATGAAGTTTACCAAGCAGAAAACAGAAAATGGCAGGACATGCATCCCCAAGGACAAGGAAAGCCTGAAAAGGCTTGAAGCACTCTTGCAGAGCAGTCATGACATCCCTTTCAGCCCTAGGTTATAATATTTTGTATACACATCATCTCCACTACTAACTCACCAGACACCCAGGCCCTATAGGCAGGGATTTGGTGCACTCACTCTATAACTCTTAAGGTGCCTGACAGAACCTTGCAGCCCTTGTAGAGTGCTCCCAGAGGAGTCTAAAATAAAAATGCACAGATGGGGTTAGCAACTCCCTAAGCTACTTATGGAAAACTTAGTAAGAGCCTTTGAGAGAGAGGAGAGAGAGAGAGGCCTTTGAGACAGAAGCTATAGGTGTATGGGTGTCTGGGTGTCTGGGTGGGGTGGCAGGTAGTATAACATGGGAAGGATATAAGTGCCTGGGCCTTTGGGAGGGAGGAGCTTTGTTTCCCTCTACTCTGAACCCAGTCTGGCTCTGGCTTAGTGAAGGATGAAGGATCTGTACACTCTGTGGTAGCCGCAGGGTTTTGCAGCTACCTACGCAGGGCAGGATTCCTTCAAGAAGCAGCAGCCACAGGCCCTGTTGTTGGCCAGCAGAGACCTAATCAAAATGAGGACAGTGTCCTTGGGACCTAATCTTGGGAGAAGGCTCATAAGGTAACTCACACCCTCCACCAGCCAACTGGCTACATGCTAGCCCAATGTCGGTGAGGATGACAATGGGACATCATTCGTACCCACAGAGTGCCATGGTCAAGAAACACTGGGATTAGAGCCAGTATTTTCAAGCTAGTATTTGTTGGTTCAGTGCACCACCCAGAAGACCTCAGTTACGAACATGACATTACATATTAGAACAAAGCGTTTATTTTATTGTGCATCTCCAGAAGTTTCCTTCTTTCCAGAAGGGCAGACTTATATGGTGATTTTTTCTCACCAATTACTTTAATCATTTTCTACCTTTCTTCACTACCCACACAAAATAGAAACAATAATCATCATTAATTACACAAATGTTTTAGGTAAAATTCAAAGTTCATGATCTCTGAAATGTATGCTCTTACAGTATGTAATTATAATTCAGGTTATCTGTGAGCTTATTTTTGGTTCTCTGCTCAGAGTCTATGGTCTGTAGTCATCATCTGAGGTTTAGGGTATCTAACGTGTACCCAGAAATAAAATGAGCTATTTCCCAAGAGTGTCAGTAAACAGTCTTACAAAAATTCCTGCTTTTTCTTTTAAGAATAAACTTAATGCTGAAAACTATCTCAGTTACCATGTTTGTCTATTTGATGGTGAGTGAGTATTTACCTCTCTAGTACAAGACACCTTCAGTATGTCAAAATCTACCCATGGCTCAGAGGAGTCGATTACATAGAACTCAAAGTACTTTTCACATATCAAAGCTAACATTAATTTATGTTCAGATATAAACTCTAAATTAATTAGAAAAGATGGAAAACATACCAGTCCATTTGAAGGATTTAACTGTGGACATCTTCTTAGTACCAACTATCCAAAGTAGGGCCAAATCATTTATTTATGGGGATTATACTTTAGCCCATCAGTTCAGGACCAGCAGTGTATTTCATTTTAATACACTGTTTCCAAAACCTGAATCTCAGGTTAAGAGTTGAGCTTCTTCTTTTTCTGCAGATGAATAGCTCATTATTACCAACACTGATATAAAAAGCATCTGTGTGTGATTCAGTCAGCCTAGCAGAGTGGGAATCCCTTCCGCTCCTGACTTTCCCACCCAGCCCCCACCCAATAGTCTGGCTGGTTTTGTACTGTTCCAGTGGATTCCTTTTTAAAACATCACATAGGTTTGAATATGCAACAAGTCACATTAAAGGACATCTCCTGTCCCATGACAAACATATTCATGGAGCAAACTTCTAGTAAAATATTTTAAACTATATAATAGAAGTGAATTCCATTTCACTCAGTTTTTGTCCCATGCACTAAAATTATAAAGAAGTTCCACTGGATTTTATATGCTGTGCTTATTGTTTTACATTCCTACCATCTCAATTAATTCATTCTTTCGTAACTCTCCTTATATTTCATACTAAACGGGAATTTTGCAAGGAAGAAGGATGTGAATTCCCAAAACAAAATTTAGAATTCCACTTTAATGCAAATAAAATGAGATTCAATCACTATTTACCTAAACGGTAACTAAACTCAAAATACTATGGAGTACTGACTTTCCACCGTTTCAGGTAAGTGGAAATCTGTAGTAATCTTCCGTCCACCAATATGAGACTGATAACAATTGTTCAGTGGAGTGTCCCTGGGGGCCTGGATGCTGGCCTCATCTGCAGAAAGGTGATGAGAGTAGAGAATCAAAGGGATGTGGGTTAGATTAAAAGTCAGCAATATAATAAATATGAACTAAAACCATAAACCTCATGGAAGGAAACATATAGATAAATTTATGACTTTGGATTTGGCAGCAGATTCTCAGATATGACACCAAAAGCATGAACAATGACAACAAAAATTAAATAAACTGAACTTCATTAAAATTAAAAACTTCTGTACATTATGTGATGGGGTGAGGGTGAGGAAGCATTTGTTATTAAACTGTTGGAGTTTTGGAACGAGTGAAAAAAAAAAACTGTGCATTAAAGGACATTACCAATAAAGTGAAAAGACAGCTGACAGAATGGGAGGAAATATTTGTAAATCATATGTCTGATAAGAGTCTATTATCCAGAATATATAAAGAACTCTTTCAACTCAACAACAAAAAGGCAAACAACCCAGTTTAAAATGGGCAAAGTACTTAAATAGATATTTCTCCAAAGAAGATATAAGATGTCTAACAAAAATATGAAAATGTTAGGGAAATATATATATCAAAGCACACATACTAAGATTGCTATGATAAAGTTTCTAAAAATTAAAAGAAAATGACAAGTGTTGGTGAGGATGTGAAGAAACCAGAACCCTCATACATGGCTGGTAAAAATGAAAAATGATTCAGTCATTTTGAAAAACAGTTTGGTAGCTCCTCAAAAAGTTTCATATAGAATTACCATATGACCCTACAAATTCCATTTATAGGTCTATACCCAAAAGGACTGAAAACAGGGACTGAAACAGCTACATACACATGTGTGTACATAGCACTATTCACAATAGCCAAAAGGTGAAAACAGCCCAAATATCCATTAATGGATGAATGGCTAAATGAACTGTTGTATATACATAGAATGGAATATTACTTGGCCATAAAGAGGAATGAAGTATTGGATGAATTGCCAAAACGTTGTGCTAAGTGAAAGAAGCCAGACACCAAAGGTCACATATTTTGTGATTCCACTCCCCAAAATATCCAAAATAGATAAATTTAGGATGCAGATTGGTGGTTGTCAGGGCCTGAGGGGAGCCGGGGGAATGAAGAGATACTGCCTAACAGGCAAGGAGTTTTATTTAGGAATGATGGAAATATTTTGCAACCAAATAGAGGTAATTGTGGCACACCATGTGCCACTGAACTATTCACTTTAAGGTGGTTAATTTTGTTACACAAATTTCACCTCAATAAACAGAAGTCTACAACACAAAAGATAAATGGTTCTGAACTGTTTTACGAGAACTGCTTAGCCAGGACATTGAGATAAATGTTTCTCATTACAGTAGAGATCATGATTAGAGATTAGGGTCTGGGTGACTAGTAGTAGACCTCATATTCAACTTAGATTTTGAAAGTCAAAATGAGAAAATTAATTGATATTTCTTGTTCTTTTAGGACTCTCAGCTTGTTTCCTCTGGACACAATAATCCAAGTAAGAAAGACTTCTCTCTACAGCTTCATATATGGAGGGTGGGAGATGGAGGGGGTGAGGAAGGGAAGGTGCATGCAATAGACTGTAGGTTGAGAAGGAATTTCACCAAAAAACCAAAATCAAGTCGGGGAAAAGAGGACCATTTGTTCAAGTACTGCCCAAATGGATAAGATTCAAGGTGATCTTGAGTGCTCCTCCATCTTTATTCAAGGGAAGGAGGTGCCAAACATAAAATGGTGAATTTCAAAGGAATGCTAGGAGGAAGGAACACTATGCTCTATTATGGTTGGTCTCTGGTATATGAGGAGGGAAAAAAACCTTTAAAGACAACTAATGAGTTACCTAAATTGAAAAAAAATGAGTGGGCCAAGAGAACAAGTTAGAAGACCTCAAGATAAATGACCTTAGAATGCATGAAGATATCATGCCCTCTTCCAGAGATAGGCAGGCTGCAATATCTAAGAAGGAATTTTTTATTGAAACCAGTGTCCAATAAAACATACGGGCTTTATCGTCAAAGAGAGAATGTTATTGTTTCATGAAGTAGTGTTTTAGTTCTCTTCTTTGGCATGAAGTAATTGGTGTTACTATCTTCTTTTTTTTCAAAGTTTATTTATTTTTGGGACAGAGAGAGACAGAGCATGAACGGGGGAGGGGCAGAGAGAGAGGGAGGCACAGAATCGGAAACAGGCTCCAGGCTCTGAGCCATCAGCCCAGAGCCCGACGCAGGGCTCGAACTCAACGGACCGCGAGATCGTGACCTGGCTGAAGTCGGACGCTTAACCGACTGCGCCACCCAGGCGCCCCCTTGAGCATTAAAAATGCATAACCCGGGGCACCTGGGTGGCTCAGTTGGTTAAATGTCCAACTTCGGCTCAGGTCATGATCTCACGGTCAGTGAGTTCGAGCCCCACGTCGGGCTCTGTGCTGACAGCTCGGAGCCTGGAGCCTGCTTCGGATTCTGTGTCTCCCTCTCTTTCTGCCCCTCCCCCACTCACACTCTGTCTCTCTCTCTTTTTCTCAAAAATAAATAAAACATTAAAAAAAAATTTTTTAATTAAAAAATTGTCCATGTCATGAAAGCACACTCACAAAGACTGGGCATTGTTAGTCTCAAAACCAGCCATTCAGCTAAGAGCACCCCTTGCCAATTACAAAGCTATGTTTGAACATGAAAATCACTCTGAGCTAGTAAATGCATCTTTGGAACTGAGGCTCACCCACTGAGCGTCTGTGAGACAGAGGCTTGAGGAGAAAAGACATCCAGACAAATGTGTTAGGAAGCCCGGACTTTTAATGCACAGCTAGAGAAAGGTCAGGGAAGGGGAATGATGGCATAATGACACAAAGGCAATATCACTTAATTATCCCACCCTCTTTTGGGATTTGCTGTGAGCACAAGCACTGGTGAAGTGGCGAAAGGCCAAGGGACTTGAAATCTGAAGACTATAAATTCACTGGTAAGAAAAGAAATTAGAAGAAATGCCTGATTAAGTCCTTCATGAGATGTGCAGTATCAGCATCATATGCCTTATGAACATACTAAAAAACATGCTAGAGTATACAGAAGAGTTGCCATTACTTTCCTCACTGTTTCTTTCCATTTGAACTTAAACAGTTCAGAGTAAAGAGAACATAATCGATGAGTGAATGTACTTTCCCTGAGCTTAGAGTTTTTGACATAAAGAACAAAGGAAATAGCTGTTGAGTCTTTTCTATGTTCCAGTGCCTTGATGTGTTATTTCACTTAATCCTAACCATAGCCATATAAGGTAGGCGTTACCATCCCCATTTTACACATGATGAAAATGAGATTTTGAAGACAATAACTAACCCAGGATCACATGGCTAAATGAAAAATGACTGCCAGGATTTGTATTCCAGGATCTCTACCCCAAAGACAACAGACTGTATTTCACTACCTTGTCCCCTGTCATTTCACAGTGGATTTGAATTCTTGTCCAAGAACTATATACTTTGACTTTGTATGCATCTGGCATATTTTTATGGCATGTCATAAATCCTCATGCTTATACTACAGTTTAGATTACGTAAAGCAGACCCCATCTTGTATGAAATGTGAAGTGACACCTGCCTTGTGTGGTATACTCTCTGGCGTTTCGTTGTCAGGGAAATTTGTGATTGACTTCCTCTTTTCTAGGGGTAGGGAGTTTTTTTCCCCAAATAATCCCCCAAAAGCCAAGTACATCTATAAAAAGGTAATACCACTATTTAAAACTCTGAGCTTTTTCTTTCTTTTTTTTTTAATTTTTTTTTTAACGTTTATTTTTTTTTTTCAACGTTTATTTATTTTTGTGACAGAGAGAGACAGAGCATGTGGTGGAGGAGGGGCAGAGAGAGAGGGGAGACACAGAATCGAGCAGGCTCAGGCTCTGAGCCATCAACAGGGAGCCTGGCGAGCTGGCCCGAACTCCCGGACCTTGAGGATACGTGACCTGGCCAAGTCCAGGACTCAACCGACTACGCCACCAAGCGCCCCTGCGTTTATTATTTAAGAGACAGAGAGGAGCACATGACGGAGGGTCAGAGAGGGAGAACCTGGGAGTAAACGGGCTGCGGGCTCTGGCTGTCAGCCTGGGAGAACAGGGCTCTGGGAACTCACAGACGAGATCATGACCTGAGCTTAAAATGGAAGGCAGCAACACCGGCCTTCAGTGAGCCACCAAGCCCCAAAAAATCTAGTGAGCTTTTTCTATAGATTATGGCATATTTAAAACTTTAGGAGAGCTGATGCCACCAGTAGTTCCAGTGCTGTGTTTATTTTTGGTTTGATCATTATTGTTTGGAATATTTCTGAATTCTCAGTAAATGGTGAAAACAGAAAAAAAAAACTGAACTTCAAGGACAAACACAAATATGTATGTGTGTGGATTGACCCGGACTAAGCATCACCACTTTAGGTCAGTGCTTTTTCCTTTTTTTTTAAGCTTTTTTTTGTTTTAATATTTATTTTGAGAGAGACAGAGAGAGAGAGAGAGGGACCAGAGAGGAGACCTGGTATCTGAAGCAGGTCTAGGTTCTGAACTATCAGCACAGAGCCTGACAGCTGGGGCTGAATCCTGAACAATCCTGACCTGAACGGGAAGTTGGGCGAAAACTTAGCCATTAAGCCACCCAGGCGCCCCAGGTCAATGCTTTTTTTCTTTTTGAAATTAGGAAAAGTATGTATGTCGATACTAAAGGGAAAGAGTGTGTGAATTAAACAGAAATTCTTTTAATCCAAATCCTTTAAAAGATGGATACTCTAGGGGCGCCTGGGTGGCTTGGTCGGTTAAGCATCTGCTTCGGGACTTCGGCTCAGGTCGCTCTCACGGTCCGTGAGTTCGAGCCCACATCAGGCTCTGCTTTGACCTGCAGCCTCAGCTTCAGATTCTGTGTCTCCTCTGTCTCTGCCCTCCTGTTCATTACTCTGTCTCTCTCTGTCTCAAAAATAAATAAACGTTGAAAAAAAAAAAAAAAGATGGATACTCTAGTCATTTTGTTGAATTACTGATTAATTTAATATTATAAAATATAAGCTTTTTAAGCATTGAGGAACTTAAATATTAAAATAGATGATATATGTCTGTGTTTTTTAAAAGTTATGAGAGTGTCCTGTTCAAGAGGAAGACTACGCATAAGCACCTCTTCCCCTTTCTTTAGAATCCCCATTTAGCTAACCAAAAGCTATAGTAATGGAAATAAATCCATAATAGCACTGAGAACACGAGGGGATGCAATCAACAAACCAGAAGTTCTGTTGAGTTTCTGGAAAACAGAAGCAGAAAGGACCATACTGTTTGATCATCCTGGCAGGGAAGATCATGACCCAGAAAAAGAAAGAAAGGAAAATGATGGAAAAAACAGGAACAAGTTCTAATAGTGGTGGAAACTATCCTAGGGAGCTCTAGGAGAGACTCCATATTGCCACTTATTCCCAAGAAAGAATAGATAGGCATGGATTGTGAGCAAGATAGGAAGACCTGGGTCATTCTTCTACCAATTACCTCAACCCCCATCCTAACTGTTTTCTTATACAGAGCATCCAGTCTGGTTTTTCTCCCCCAAAAATCCAAAAGACAAAAAAAAATTAGTTACATTTACTAAGAAAATGAAGAGCTGACCCAAAGTTCCACTTAACGACTGGAACTTTAATAAGAGAGAAGCAGAACAGATTCTGAGATGACACCAGACCTTAAAAATAGACATGTATGGTTGGCAAAAGAAGAGCCAAGTTTGCTGAAGATGGAAACAAAAAATACTAATACTCAGACTGAAGTACTTCCTACTTTTGTTGGAGTGTAGGGTTAGGGCTCCCAGCTTGCCTGAGGCCTCTCTTCTGAACCCTAAATAAAGCCTTTGAGTCACCAAACCCTATCCACTTACAAAGAGCTCTAAATCAGCCCTTCCCTCCAAGGCAAAGGAGTGTTAGGAAAAGAGATCAGTGTACCAGTACAGGAAATTCACATCATTTACCTTCATTAACCAACCCATTTTCATTCAAAAATGTGAATATATAACCAAGGAGCATCAAAGAGAAGGAATGGCCCTAAGGGAATCAATATATTAATTCAAAGAACAGAAGAAAAAAATTGCAAGTATCATTACAGCCTTCAGAAAAAAATTGAAATTATTTGTATTAAATATAAAGGGAACAGAATGGCATGAAAAAGAAGTCATTAGAGAATGAACTTGAGAATTTAAATATAGCCAATGAAACTTAAAAAATTAATATAAATACCTGAAGTCTGGAATCTAGAATGTAAGGTTGAAAACATTTTCTTTTTCTGGATATTAAGCAAAAGACAGAAGGAAATACAAAAGGAAGGTAAGATACATGGAAGATCAATCAGGGAGGAAAGGTCAAAATCCAACTAATAGGGATACCAGAAAGAGAAAAGAAAGAAAATGGAAAAGAAGAAAAAGAATAAAAATAGAATTCTAAAAGAAATGAAAAACTCACTATCAAAACAACTCATAAACAAGAAAACAAGAGACTA